TCATCTAACCATCATCATCATCTCACTGTGGATATGACTGTTCATCTTACCATCATCACCATCTCACTGTAGATACGACTGTTCTTCACCTAACATCATCATCTCACTGTGGATCTGACTGTTCTTCATCTAACTGTCATCATCTCACTGTGGGTCGGACTGTTCTTCATCTAACCATCATTATCTCACTGTGGATATGACTGTTCTTCGTCTAACCATCATCATCTCACTGTGGATATGACTGTTCTTCATCTAACCATCATCATCATCTCACTGTGGGTCTGACTGTTCTTCATCTTACCATCGTCATCTCACTGTGGATCTGACTTCTTCATCTTCTTCTATCATCATCATCTCACTGTGGGTCTCACTGTTCTTCATCTAACCATCATCATCTCACTGTGGATATGACGGTTCTTCATCTAACCATCATCATCTCACTGTGGATCTAACTGTTCTTTATCTAACCATCATCATCTCACAGTGGATCTGACTGTTTTTCATCTAATCATCATCATCATCTCACTGTGGATCTGACTGTTCTTCATCTCACATTCATCATCTCACTGTGGGTCTGACTGTTCTTCATCTTCTTCCATCATCACCATCTCACTTTGGATATGACTGTTCATCAGCCACACACCTCCAACCACAGACCTCCAACTAAAGACCCGTTGCCAAAGACCTGCAACAAAATACCTGTAACCAGACTGACTTGTCTCTCAGTATGTTTCCAATGATCACATGTTCTGTCAAAAATGTGTTGAGTGTTTTTCAGCAGTTGCTCTGGTGAGTAAATAATGAAGCCCCCCCCCCCCCCCAGTCCACTAGTTTAGTTTAACCGTGTCATGTTAGAAGCGTGTGAGCTGCAGCGAAGTGGAAATGAGATCCTGACAGATTATCGACTTAGAGAAGAGAAGCCGGTACATCGACCTCCTGCACGGGAACTTTTACCTCCTTAAATCCCTCATTTATCCTCCACTGACCCCTTTTGACAGAACTCTCTTCGTTGACCCGCTGATCTCTTTACGTTTTAAGTGTAAGAGATTTGAATCAGGCTTTAATCGGAAGAATCGAGATGAGACAAAATGAGCCAGAGTTCAGAGAAGCTGAAGATTGAAGTGAACTTTCAGGGAAAGTTAAAGTGTCGGGTGATAAACAATCGATCCACTTTTGACAGGACAAGTTAATCAGTTCAATATAAAGCCGTTTGTGTTTAGTTCTTGTTTTCATTGTTGATCATATTTTGATTAGTTGATCAATCGTTTGGTTTTTGAAACATTAGAAAAAAGGGAAAATATCCAAGAATACTCACTCCTTCACCAGGTCATTGCTCATGTCCAGGTAGCGATTGCTGATCCACTGCACCTCGAACCAGTCCCTGAAGTTGTTGTTGCCGCAGCAGCGGAACTCGATCTGCGTCATGTCCAAGGTCCTCTTCATGAAGCAGCGTCCCGGCGTGTCGGTGTCCTTGTAGAACTTGATGCTGTTCTTAAGGCCCTCGGCCAGCGTCAGGTACACGGCGAACTGCATGAGGAAGCACAGCAGTGCCATCAGCAGCAGCAGTGCGTTGAAGCCGCAGCACAGCAGCAGGAATGGCTTCAGCATCGGTTTCCACTTGGCGAACTTGATGGGGTCCAGAGAGTCGTGGCACACTTTTCCCCCGAAGGCGTTGAGCCCGCAGGCCAACGAGCCCACCAGGATTAACAGGTTGGGCACCAGGTGGCTCTCGTTGTTGTCCATCATCTCGCTTCTCTTCCGCAGCTCGATCTTGAAGAAGATGCCGAGGCCGAAGAGGAGAATCCCCACGATGACCGAGAGCCAGTAGATCATCCACAGACCCTGAGCCAGCTTCACCCGCTTCTGCAGGTTGAACTTCACCGGCATGAACGCCATTTTCACGTCTTAGTGGGATCAAATGATCAAAACCCTGAAATCAGCTAAACTTCTGTGTCAATGAGAAAACAGTTTGAGAATCCCTTTAGAGATTTAATCTAATCCAGAAAGAAGCAGCTGAACGCAACTCAGCCAGAATTCCTGGTTTCAGACCCATAATGCCGAGCTGCAGGTCCATACTGCTGCCATCAAATCACAAGAGAAAAGATTCAAACCCGTCTGATCTGCAGCGAGCTGCTTCGCTCTGGTTGTTCGGGAGAATAAAAGGTGTGAATGTGAGCAGCAGCTCCTCCTGAACCTCTGATCTCATGAACAGAAGATCAGCTGCTGCCTCTAATCCTCAGACTTACTGATAATCGGTTTGCTGTTAAGCAGCAGCTTCCTCCTCTGGTCAGCTGACACAAGCTCACCTGTTTCACCTCCCTGCAGGTGAGCCAGGTGAGCCTCGGAGATAGGAAGTAGAAGAACTCACTCTGCAGACGAAGAAGGAGAAACTTCTTGTAACGATGTTGAGAAGAGTTGTTGGTATTTTACTGCAGAAGATATATGTATATATCTATATATTAGTGCTGGGCAACAATTAAAATTTGTAATCGCGATTAATCGCACTGTTATGGCAAAGTTCAATAATGAATTCAAAAGTAGTGTATTGTGCACTTTTATTTTAAAGTACTGCTATATGAACTAAAGGTCATTTGGTTTAAACACTTTAAACACATCAGGTTGTTGTTAGCAGCAGTATTCCCTTTACACAGTAGCAGTTCTATCTCTTCACTATCTGTGCTCAGTGTTTGACTGTGTGAAACGTTCCACTGCTGTGCAACAGGAATAACATGTCAGCACGTTTCATCTACGTGTGTCTTGTGTCTTCATATATATATATATATACATATATATATATACATATACATATACATATATATATATATATACATATATATATACATATACATATACATATATACATATATACATATATATATACACATACATATATACATATATATATACATATACATATATACATATATATATACATATACATATATACATATATATATACACATACATATGTATATATATACATATACATATATATATATATATACATATGTATATACATATATATATTTATATACATATGTATATACATATATATACATATATATATTTATATACATATGTATATACATATATATATATATTTAAATATCAGTTATATTTAGAATATCTTCAAAGACACAAGACACCTTTGACAACAAACAGGAAGTGAACCTCTCAGAACTTCTGTTTGAGTTGTTCGGCTTGTTCTAGATGATCAGAATTGATCACAATGCATTCTGGGTAGATTTGTGTCCAACTTGCTCTGAGGTCATGAACACGAGGTCATTGATGACCTCACGAGATCGAGGAGGCCAGAGATTTTAGAGCCAGGTGACCCCAATGCATGATGGGAAACACCTGCTGTCTCCGGATCAAAGATCTGATTGACAAACACGTTTTGTAGACAATCATCATTTTTCAGTGTAATTGTGATATTTAATGTTAGATTGTTGGATATTAGTCTAAAAGAAGGTTTAATCTAAAAACATATCTTGTGTGATTAATAATAATAATAAATATAATAAAGCTTATTTATATAAAACATATCAAAATGAGCATCAAAGTGTTTCACAAACATAAAAAAAACAAAAGATAAAGAACAATGCAGATAAAAGCACATTTCCACATAAATATATATTTACAAACAAACAACGAATAAATCAGAAGATTTGTAAACTACAAGAAGCCTACAGATCTAACAGGAAGTAATGTTTCTGTGACTTCCTGTTTGTTCTTTGAAGGATGAAAACTGAACGACTTGACCTCAGTGTTTTCCGTTTTTGGTTGTTGTTCTGAAGATGAAGATGAAGATGAGATCTGATCTTGTCTACTTTACAAAGAAGAGAAGTTCTTCTAGAACCTTTTGTCGCTTTGATAAAATGGCCGACTGACTGAATGGTCAAAATACTACATTACCCATAAAGCTCTGCAGCTGTTGCTATGCAGAAGAATCCAGTCAGATACTTAGAAAACACATCGTCATGGTTACTGAATTCAACCAAAGTTGAACCCAAAATTGAAACATTTTGGAGACAAATTTGAAAATATTAATAAATACATTTTACAAAAAAATATTACTTTTCCTAAAAATAAATATATTTGTAAATTCAATGTAATTAAAAAAAAAAAGATTAAATAAATGAGTTAAACAGAAACTCTGACACATTATTATTATTATGAATACTGTAAATACAGAAACATTCAGAACAATTACAAACAACTAAAAGTTTAGGGTCTGAGATTCCTATTTATTGTTATTATAATTATTAATGTTAATAATATGATTATTAATATTAATAATCATCAGTTGATAATGTGATAAAAACAAACATGAACTCCTTTTAAAGTTTTTATTGGTTTTCTTATTGTTATACAATAATGTACATTTACTAATTTACAGTGGGTACGGAAAGTATTCAGACCCCTTTAAATTTTTAACTCTTTGCTTCATTGCAGCCATTTGCTAAAATCCAAAAAGTTCATTTTATTTCTCATTAATGTACACTCGGCACCCCATCTTGACAGAAAAAAACAGAAATGTAGAAATTTTTGCAAATTTATTAAAAAAGAAAAACTGAAATATCACATGGTCATAAGTATTCAGACCCTTTGCTCAGTATTGAGTAGAAGCACCCTTTTGAGCTAGTACAGCCATGAGTCTTCTTGGGAATGATGCAACAACCTTTTCACACCTGGATTTGGGGATCCTCTGCCATTCTTCCTTGCAGATCCTCTCCAGTTCCGTCAGGTTGGATGGTGAACGTTGGTGGACAGCCATTTTCAGGTCTCTCCAGAGATGCTCAATTGGGTTTAGGTCAGGGCTCTGGCTGGGCCAGTCAAGAATGGTCACAGAGTTGTTCCGAAGCCACTCCTTTGTTATTTTAGCTGTGTGCTTAGGGTCATTGTCTTGTTGGAAGGTGAACCTTCGGCCCAGTCTGAGGTCCAGAGCACTCTGGAAGAGGTTTTCTTCCAGGATATCTCTGTACTTGGCCACATTCATCTTTCCTTCAATTGCAACCAGTCGTCCTGTCCCTGCAGCTGAAAAACACCCCCATAGCATGATGCTGCCACCACCATGTTTCACTGTTGGGATTGTATTGGGCAGGTGATGAGCAGTGCCTGGTTTTCTCCACACATACCGCTTAGAATTAACGCCAAAAAGTTCAATCTTGGTCTCATCAGACCAGAGCATCTTATTTCTCATAGTCTGTGCGGGCTATGCGGGCTTTCATATGTCTTGCACTGAGGAGAGGCTTCCGTCGGGCCACTCTGCCATAAAGCCCCGACTGGTGGAGGGCTGCAGTGATAGTTGACTTTGTGGAACTTTCTCCCATCTCCCTACTGCATCTCTGGAGCTCAGCCACAGTGATCTTTGGGTTCTTCTTTACCTCTCTCACCAAGGCTCTTCTTCCACGATTGCTCAGTTTGGCTGGACGGCCAGGTCTAGGAAGAGTTCTGGTCGTCCCAAACTTCTTCCATTTAAGGATTATGGAGGCCACTGTGCTATTAGGAACCTTGAGTGTTGCAGAAATTCTTTTGTAACCTTGGCCAGATCTGTGCCTTGCCACAATTCTGTCTCTGAGCTCCTTGGGCAGTTCCTTTGACCTCATGATTCTCATTTGCTCTGACCTCATGATTCTCATTTGCTCTGACATGCACTGTGAGCTGTAAGGTCTTATATAGACAGGTGTGTGCCTTTCCTAATCAAGTCCAATCAGTTTAATTAAACACAGCTGGACTCCAATGAAGGAGTAGAACCATCTCAAGGAGGATCAGAAGAAATGGACAGCATGTGAGTTAAATATGAGTGTCACAGCAAAGGGTCTGAATACTTATGACCATGTGATATTTCAGTTTCTCTTTTTTAATAAATTTGCAAAAATTTCTACATTTGTTTTTTTCTGTCAAGATGGGGTGCTGAGTGTACATTAATGAGAAATAAAATGAACTTTTTTTATTTTAGCAAATGGCTGCAATGAAACAAAGAGTGAAAAATTTAAAAGGGGTCTGAATACTTTCCGTACCCACTGTATACAAGAATTCACATATTAACAAGTCTGATGAAGATGAAGAATCTTTTCATTTACTAAACTAAAATTTAATTCAAACATCTTTATTTCTTTAAGGAAAATCTGCTTTTAATAAGAAACTAATAAATAAATAAATGTCACAAACTCATAAAAAACCTCATGTAACAGGAAGTGACATCACAGCTCTCCAAAACAAAATAAACTTTAAAAGTAAACGATCAGTTTGATATGTTTAAAATATTAATAGGAGGCGGTCACCATGGAAACGCTTTTAAAAAACATCCCATCATGCAATGCGGCATGTTCATCTCTGTGACGCCTTCAACACTTCGTGGTGATTTCACAATAAAAGCCTTCATGTTCTTCAGTTACTTCCTTCTGTCTCCAACTACTACATTACCCAGGAGCCTCAGCTGCTGAGTTATCTTTAGTTTGTTGATGAAATGCATCTGGGAGTCGTATTTACTTTCAGTCTAAAATCAGGGTACTTTTTTCCCCATCATGCAACACGATCTGAAAGGAGGATTTAGATGAAATAAAAGTAACCAGTCAATCAACCTGTGAGTGACAGCAGTGGGTGGGCGGGGCTTCACTTTGGTAAAGTTTTTATTTTGTCAAAAAATCAAAACAAACGCAAATCTGAAAAAAATGAATAAAAAAACGATCTAAAATAAACATTCTTAACTTCCTGTCTGTGTGAGCAGGAGAAAGGGGGCGGAGTCAGTGATGGAGTGGAACAAGGACCAGGTCTTCAGAGGAGGAGGTGGGGCCAACACAGAGAAGACCAATCAACGCTGGGCTTCAGAGGAGGAGGCGGGGCCAACACAGAGAGGACCAATCAACACTGGGCTTCAGAGGAGGAGGCGGGGCCAACACAGAGAGGACCAATCATCACAGGTGCTGCCAGTCGATGGCGACCAGCGTCTGATTGGCCTCCTGAGCATGACCAATGACCTCAGCAACGCCGTGCTGACGCCACAGACGCTCAATCTTCTTGTAACGATCGGAACAGAGATGGAGGGGGTTCCCCCGCCTGTAGGGACACAAACAAACAAACAAATCAATAAACAAACAGAGATGGAGGGGGTTCCCCCGCCTGTAGGGACACAAACAAACAAATAAACAAACAGGTGGAGGGGGAACTCAAACAAACCAATAAACAAAACAAACAAACAAAAGGTGTAGAATCAATAAAAGGAGAACACCTACTTGAGGCCCTGGTCCGTCTCTCCGTAGTCGTCCAGATACGGAGGAGGATAGAAACAGCCTTTTGTTTTACCTCCTACAAACAACACCTGACTTTCTCTGACTCTGCACACACACACGCACACACACACGCACACACACACAGTCAGGGGACCACCAGAGTGACAGTAACATTCATAGAGCTATCAGCAGTAGAGGACAGGTGTGTTACCTGAGGAAGAGGCCGAGGCCGGCTCCACAGGTGAAGGTGTGAGCGGTGCAGGATCCTACGTCCTCCCCGTCCACCTCCGTCTGACAGCAGTAACTCTGAGAACACAACATGGAGCCACACACCAGACACAGAGTGGGAGCTCGAGACTTATCACCTCCTGACCTGGGACACCTGCACAGGAAAGTAACGCAGATAAGTAACACTGTGTAAGGGCCTGAGGGGCAGGTAGTGGCTGGCATCTACATTCCTGCCAGAAGGCTCCACCCACTCCTTCAGGAGAGTATTGAGATCAGGTGTGGGAAGAGACACACATGATCCAGATCTCCTCGTCAGGGAGGGGAACAAAAGGCAAGGAGGGAAACAAGGCAGAGAAGAGATGACAAGGGGAGAAGAGTGTCTTCTCCTCGGAAGGAAGAAGATTACGCCCGGTAAGTCGGCTAGTGGCCCGGCTGATTTAGTTTAGTTATATAGTTAACTGATCGAGCTCTGGAATGAGCTACGTTTTGTGTTGTTTTGTGTCTGTGTATATACAGTGTGTACAGTGAGTACTGACGTGAAGCTGGACGCCTGGTTGATGAGGACGCTGTAATCTTCTGGCAGTTGGATCAGTCGGTTGGACTCTCTGGGGAACCTGACGATGACGCCGCCCACCTGTAGTGTTTGTCTCACAGCTGGATGACAACACCACCTGAACACACACACCAGTAAATCTCTTCAGGAGGAAGCCAACCTCAATTACATACTACACAACTGTGTAACACACGCGCGAGTGCGGCGCGCGACGGGCGCGAGTGCGGCGCGAGTGCGGCGCGCGACGGGCGCGAGTGCGGCGCGAGTGCGGCGCGCGACGGGCGCGAGTGCGGCGCGCGACGGGCGTGACGGGCGGCGCCTGTGCGTGACGGGCGGCGCCTGTGCGTGACGGGCGGCGCCTGTGCGTGACGCTCGACGGGCGTGACGGGCGGCGCCTGTGCGTGACGGGCGGCGGGCGTGACGGGCGGCGCCTGTGCGCGACGGGCGGAGCCTGTGCGCGACGGGCGGGGCCTGTGACGCGCGACGGGCGGCGCCTGTGACGCGCGACGGGCGGCGCCTGTGACGCGCGACGGGCGGCGCCTGTGACGCGCGACGGGCGGCGCGTGTGACGCGCGACGGGCGGCGCCTGTGCGTGACGGGCGGCGCGTGCGACGCGCGTGCGACGCGCGTGCGTGACGGGCGTGCGCGTACGTGTGTACGTGGCGCGCGTTACCTGTGTATGAACGGCTCCAGCAGTGTGTTATGAGTCTGGTGGAGCTGCAGCAGGTTGGAGGGCAGATTGAGGTAGCTGCACAGCGCCTCCCACTGACCAGGACCTGCAACTACAACACGTGCTCGTGCACACACGCACACACTTTAACATGTCTGTGAACAATGAAAGGTATTACATCATCGGTCCAATCACATTACTGGGTGGCTGCCCAGCAAATCCATTCAGATTCATCCGTCACAAATATACTAAACTTTGGACCACTACACACTGACAACCTGTGTGTGTTGTTACCCAGTAGGTCAGCAGGTGGCGCTGTAGAGTTCAGGTAGTGGAAGAAAAGGGCGGCGGCTCGGAGGAACGGCAGACTGCCAGCTTTAACACAATGGAACAGCTGCCACCCAGAGGTCACTTCAGGTAAGACACTGAGCCACACACACATTTCATTAATCACATAACTAAACAATATATTACACAGAAATAAATACATCTATATTTGGCCAAATAGCATAAACAGATTAATAGACAATACATTTATCAACTATTATATTTTCCTGTATCTTCTTTAGAAGATTCATTTATTAACACATTTGTTTCCACAATCAGTGAAAAAGTAGAAATAGGTATAAATATATAAAGAAAAGATAAAATACTCTTCATTTATTTATTTTATATATTTATTCTATTTTAGCATTTATGTTTTACCTTTTCTACTCTGAGCCTATTTTTAGGCCTCTGCTCGAAAATGGCAATGACTGTAAAAGACTAATTCTGTAACTACAAGGTCTATTTTAATAATTTTGATGTTATAATACAGGTAACACTTGTGAGACTTGTTCAGATGTGTAAATATTGTGTATATGTTAGTGGTTAAGAGCAAATGAAGATGGCACACAGCTCAAATTGAAAATTTTCAGGTTCGCCTGGAAAAAAAGCACTTTTGATATTTCTTTGAAATAATGCAGCTGAAAACTGAAAGCTAAAAAAAAAAAAATCATAGCACATGTCAGGAGTCCCTAAAAAAAATTTGGCTTTGATAAAGTGAAGCAGGACAAAGTTAGAAAGGTTTTAGTACCGAGAGGTCAGGCGGGGTCAAGCAGAATTGTCACATGTTCCAGCTGTTCCATTGTAATTTTATCACTAATAGTGTTCAATACATCCAAATACAGCAGTTTGGCAACATTTTGAGAGCCAGAATCCTCTCTGAGCCCGTTTCCAAGATGGCTGCTGCTGTGCTTCTGTGATCTTGTGGTTGGCATTTCTATCCAACTATAATTTGAGGAATCCTACCTAGAACTAAAATCCCAGTACTAGACTGAATCAAGAAGTCTCCAAACAACCTTTTACAGCTAAACTGTGGACATTATTGGTATTTTGTGGAGGTTTTCTGGCTTCATCCTGCTGATCTTTGGGCCTGGTAGGCCTTGAAGCCTAGGACCGGACCATGCCACCCAAAGCTTCAAACAATGCCACTGAGGAACATGTCACCATGGCTCAAGTGCGTGAATTGTTGGACCAGCAAAAGGACTTCCACAAAACTTTGCTTGAACAACAGGAAAAAAGCTTCAAAACATGTGTACAGATCATAGTTGATTCTTCAAACGGGAGGATTGATGATCTGTCGAAGCAGACCTATGATCTTAAGGTGAGGCTAGAAATGACTCAAAAAGAGTTTGATGATTTTAAAATGTCATGTAAAACTAGTTTCAAAAATTGTAATGAAACCAGGACAGATTTGGACACAATCTGCAAAAGTTTGATCTCAATCTCAGACAAGTCAGACTATCTGGAGGGCCGGTCCAGACGCCATGATATTGTGGTAGACGGTAAAGAGAACCTGACTGACTGTGGAGAAAACTCTTCAGTGAAAAACTACAACCGGATCATCTGAAGATAGAGTTGGATGGGACCCACAGGGTTGGGACGCATATTCCATCTTCACAAGAGCCCCGACCCATTGTGGTGAGATTTCTACGGCTGCAGGATAAACTCTCTGTTCTACATAAAGCTAAACCTTTGAAGGCTCAGGCATCTTCATCAATGAGGACTTCCCTGAAGTCCGCCAAAGAAGAAAAGAACTACTCCCAGCAATGAAGGCAGCTTGAGAGAGAGGTGACATTGCATATTTGAGATACGACAAACATATTGTCCATCCACCTTCCCAAAACCCACAACAAAGAAACCTTCAGAGTCTGGCTCCTTAGTCTCCAACATTAGGAATGTATTAAGTACTTTTTAGATTTTATTGTATCTGTATACATGATTCTCTACGTACACTATGGTCTACAACACATCTAATCTGGAAGGCCAGACCTTTACGCCTTTTGATCTCTCTACCAGTGACTCTTATCATTTTGATATTGACCCAGATTTACATTTCTTTTCATCACTTGATGTCTCTAACCTCTGTAGTTTTTATGATCAAACTCAGTTTAATGACTTCTGTTTCTCTGCCACGTAATACATTCTCTACTTTTCATCTGAATATAAGAAGTCTTCCTCGCAATTATGACAAATGTATTCATTATTTATCTTCACTGAAGCATGATTTTTCAGTTGTTGCCCTGTCAGAAACATGGCTTACTGAGGACTCAAGAGAAATCTTTAAAATACCAAAATACAATTCAGTTCACTATGTTAGAGAGAATAGATGTGGAGGTGGAGTATCTCTGTTTATTCACGGTGACTATGAATTCAACATCAGGGATGATCTCACGTTGAAGTCAGAGAGGGATGAGGTGGAATCTGTTTTTTTAGAGCTCTCTGGTGCCTCTGGTGTAAAGAATGTTATTGTTGGTGCTATTTATCGCCCACCTGACTCTGTCATGAAAGTGTTCAATGACAGTCTGGGCTGTTCTCTTGACCTGATAAACAATGAGGAAACTTTGTTACGTTTTAAAATTGACTACATACTCCTACTGGGGATTTTCTCAATATTCTTTACTCTAGTTACTTTTCCCCCTCTTATTCATAAAGCAACACAAGTTACAGAACATTCAGTGACTTTGATAACATCTTAACCAATTCTTTGAGTAAAGGAACCAAATCTGGAGTCTTGTATTCTGACTTGTCAGATCATTTTCCAGTACTTTAATCAAGATTAAGAGAGCTAAACATACTAAGAAAATGATGCAGAAAAGAATTATGAGCAAATCAAATATTTAAAAATATTCTTACCAGTATTACATGGGATGATCTATATGTGGAAAATAATGCTGATTTGGCATATCAGAAGTTTATGAAAGTTATTAACCTTAGTTTCAATGACTGTTTTGTAATTCCACCAAGAAAAGCAGTGAAGTTAGTAAGCCCTGGTTCACAACACATTTACTGGAGCTGCTGAGGAAAACAAATAAACTCTACAGAAAATATGTTTCTAACTCACGCCTCTTACTCATGGGGCTTATAAATCCTGTAGAAATAATTATACCCATATCAATAGATCTACTAACAATAATTACAGTGAAACATTTATGAAGTGCTCAAAAGATATATAAAAAACACGTGGAAAGTAATAAATCAAGTGCTGCAAAGAGAAGACGACCCCAGAGCTTCCTTCAGTCTTTTTGGATGGTGACAATTCTCTTGACGAGCCATTTGATATCGCTCAAACATTGAATGAATTCTTTGTAAATATTGGTCATGAATTAGCTAACAATATTCCGGCTTGTCATGGGAATCCACCGGATTTTATTCCAACAAATGTCCCTATTATCTCTAATTTTATGCCCCCAAATATTCAAGAAATAATTGATGATCTCAAAACATCTTCGGCTGGCCATGATAACATTTCTGCACTTCTTGTCAAACAGGTGAAACAGTCAATATTGCAGCCACTTGTTCACATCTTCACCGTGTCTTTGAAAACAGCTGTTGTGCCAGAGGATTTAAAAATTGTTATTCCTTTGTTTAAAGCAGAAAACCCACGGTGTTTTAACAACTATAGACTAGGGCTGCACGATTATGGCCAAAATCATAATCGCGATTATTTTGATCAATATTGAGATCACGATTATTCATTAATTTTAGGGACAACATCTTTTTATGGCACTTTCACATTTAAATGAACAAGAACACTGCTTCCACTTCCATTGTTGTGCTACATTCTGGCTAATGTACAAATCATTGCATCAGACTGGTCCTGATCACAGTGCATCTCGTAGAAGGAAAATATAAATAAAATAGTATCAACACTTTTTACCCAAAATTAAATCAACAGAGCACTGCTTTCACTTCCATGTTGTGCTACATTCCAGCTAATGTACACGTCTTTGCATCAAAATACAGCGTATACGGTACTGATCACCTGACGCAAAATATAAATAAAATGTTTACCCAAAATAAAGGGCTAACTAAAAATAAATATGTGTGTTGCTCACAGTATTTATTGGACACGTCTTTGGCCAAATGAAATGCGATTGCAGCCGTTATTTCAGCGTGTCTTTGGGAGGTGGATGATTCGCTGTTATGGTTTTCTGGGTTGACGTTGGACATGGACGGAGATTCAGTGAGGTAACGTTAGCTTTGGCCTTAATGCATTCATCGTACTGTGGGTTGTGGTGATTTTTCAGGTGGTTGAACAAGTTAGTTGTATTGCTATGCGGCGCAGACAACTCAAACGCGCACTGTGCATATGATTTGTTCTTAGTTAACATCACTTGCCCTAAATCCAAAAAGCTTCCAGACAACGGATGATGATCCTTTTCGAGGGGCTAGCTCCTCGCCTTCTGCTCCTGACATTAGATTTAGCTTTCACACGACACCCGTGACCGTCTGTCTCTCTACTCTTCAACTAATACCGGAGTCGACTGCAGACAGAACTTTTATTGAGGCTGCCCCTGCAGGGTGCGCGCATGACACCTCCCATCTCGTCCGCCCCCTGGTGGTCGGCTGACTGTTAGTTGAGGACGCGCTTGATTTGATGTGTAGCAGAGCACGTATTTTAAACGTCAATATCGCTGACGATCATGCTCATTTAATTGTGGCAGCCAAAATCGTGATCGCGATTTTAAAATTTGATTAAATGTGCAGCCCTACTATAGACCCATATCTATAGTGGCTTGTTTTTCAAAAATACTAGAAAAATTGTACACAAAAGGATTATGTTCCATGTAGAGTCTAATTCAATTCTTTACAAACACCAGTATGGTTTCCGTAAAAATCATTCAACTTACATGGCTTTACTTTACCTTGTTGATAAAG